TATGCTAGAGTTTGCATGTCCAAGAACAAAATTCGAAACAGTAACAAAGAAGTTTAGCATAAAACGAAACATGTAAAAAAGATAATAACATTGAACGACACAGAACAAAGAAACAAAAGGAAAGAACAATTCAACGAATATGTTTTGACTACAAATGACTCTGGATTATCATCAAACCTAATTGTCTACAAGAATAACAGTAGTAGTTACAAATTTAAATACCAACTAGATACGGGCGCAATATGCAACGTAATCGGCAAAAAAGACCTATTAGAAATAAGAAATAAGAACACTAAATAAGAACACAATAAAAACTCTAGATGGAATTCACATAACGTCCACTACAATCAGCTCGAAGATGGCAAGAGATGGAACTCATAAAAATATACAATAATGTGAAGGAAGATACCAACAATGAAAGCACATTTTCGATTATAAACGAATACAAAGAGGTATTCGAGGGGCTAGACAAAATCGAAGGAAAAGTTTCAAACAGTAGAGATAGATGAAAACATAACACCAAAAAAAGAATTACTAACGCGTATCCCAGTATAATTACGCGAGGAACTACAAATTACTCTAGATGAAATGGAGAAACAACACGTTATAACCAGAGAAATCGAACACAAAGAATGGGCGAGCAATTTAGTAATTGTCAGAAAAAAAAAATAAACTGAGAATATGTATTGATCCAAAACAACTAAATCAAGCACTAAAAGATGTTAAATATCAACTAACAAGGAAAGTCTTTACAATACTGGATGCGAAACAATGGCAACTCAAATGTTGGCAACTCAAATTAGATGAGAAAAGCAGCAAACTCACAACATTTTGGACACAATTTGAAAAGTATAGTTTGTAATTTCAATCGTTTGTAATTTGGGTTTTCACCAGCGATGGAAATTTTTTAAAAAAAACCAAAATTATATAACCAGTTTATATAAGATTTAGAAGGAGTTGTATGCATAGCAGACGATATCCTAGTTTTCGGCAAAGATGAAAATTAACAAATTCAACTGAAGACCACAACAAAAACTTAGAGCACTTTTGAAACGTTTAAAACAAAAAAACTTAAAAATAAACAGAGACAAACGCAAGGTATGTCAACTAAACTTAAAATTTTATGGTCACATCTTAACAAGTAAGGGTTAACAAGTAAGAGCCTTTGTGGAACGTAACACATATCAAATAAGAATTTACGTGGGTACCACCTCAAGATAAAAACAGTTAATACCTTAAGAAAAGTGATAGCAGCATGGACAAAGCAATCGTAACACAAACAGATGCATCGTCATATTAGGTTACATTAGGTTATGTATTATTGCAGAAAGGTCATCTAATAATTTAGGCTTTAAAAATTTTAAGTGAAATGCAAAAAAACTATGCACAAATCGAAAAAGAGATGATAGTAGTTCTATTTGCATGCAAAAGATTCGATCAATATATTTGTGGCAGATCATATCGAATAATTGAAACAGATCATTTACCCTTAATCAATATTTTCAAAAAATCACTAATTAAAATCGATCATCTTGACCTTACAACAAGTGAAATAAAGCAAATGGTACATAATTACGAAATTAGTTACACATTAACCGGAAGGCAACAACGAGAGCCAATGATGATAAAAGATACTCCAACACCAGTATTTGAAATAGTGCCAATGAGTGTATTCGAAATGAACATAAAGATCATTATTCAGACTTTTTCGAAATCAATGAATTAAAAAGCTTACCAGCAAAATCGACAGATTACTTATGTAGAAAAACCTTTAGCAGATACGGTATGCCAATGATAGTTATAACGGACAACGGCACAAATTTTGTAAATTCGAATTCAAAAAATTCAATTATTAATTAATTAAGTAGAACGATAATATCATGTTTTATTTATAAAGAGGTTTTTTCGAACAGTAGTGAACAACAACAACAAAAATTTTATTTTTTATATTATTTTAATTAATTGAATTTTAGCCTGACCATAAAGATGTTTCGAGTATTGTCAAATACCCATCATTAGTGGTCTTAAAATAATCCTTGTATTTAATTATTCACAATAGCTACAATTCTAGAACTCACCAAACGTTTGTTATACTTTCGTTTGTAAGTATACATTTAGTTAAAATTTCTCGGAAACTAATTGATTTGAGTGACTCATTTAACCCATTAATAACCGTTTATATTAATAAATTTTATGCAAAATAAAAAATGTTTAAAATGGAACCTTTCGTTTCATTTTACAAATGAAGATGAAGGTGGCATTCATTTGCATTGGTTTACCAAAAAATGAATAAAATGTTAGGTAAAGCAAAAAGAAAAAAAATCAAATCTAAGGATGCCTCAATATAGCTAAAAAAAGTCTATAATAATAAAGTCTCTATGAAGTCGCTTAAAAAAATTTTTATAAATAGTTTTCTATCAATTTCGAAAGAGTTTGTAAAGAGAATTGATAAAATCTAGATCATATATGATAATCTTGTACGGAAAGTTTTGATAAAAAAAAAATGAGTCTCTATCATCGTTAAAAAGCCAGAATTGATGACAATTCTGATGATGATTCATGATGTTTTACCATGATTATAGTAAACCATACATCATGACCTATAAAATGAATTCATAATATAATATAGTGTAAGGACACTGGACTCTCAGCATATCATTAGTACCAAGATTTACAATAACTTTATTGTAAGTTGAACTCAAGTTCCTAAAAAATTTTCACAAGTTTTTCAAAGTTAAAATTCCGGAATGTTAAATTTTAAAAACATTCTAAAAATAATTTTAACCTAAATATATAAGTTTTTGGATGCAAACGGTATACTGCCAAATAAATTTTCTTGGATCCAGTATTTATATTGTTTAAGGATGAACACAAAACAACTATAAATAAAATAACATTTTTGCCGCAATTGACAAACAAACCGATAAACAGTAGCAAAACTATGCATTGTAACAACACTATTATGAATGGGTGATCTGCTGCAATATTGAATACAATACAGAAATTGGAAGTAGAATCTACTGAACATATCTTATGTATTATTATCTGCAAAAATTTTATTTCGAAATTCAATTTCATTTTGCGCTTAACAAAATCAAAATCAACAAAAAAATTAAATAATAACTATTCTAAGAATTGACGATTGCGAAGATATTTCTTATTATTTCAACGTTATTATTATTGTTGAAGTCGCCTCTTCTTTTTCAGTGTTGTCATTGTTTTTTTTTTTTAATTTGCTTCATGTTTTAATATTAACATTAAAGAAATCAAAAAGAGAGAAATTTTATTATATTTCTACAAACAATCAACAACAACTAAAAGGATCATAAACAATTAACTTGAATTGCCAATGTCAGCGACCAATTGAAGGAAAACAAAATCTCTCTCTCTCTCTCTCTCTCTCTCTCTCTCACAGTGGAACAAAAACAATACATATCATTAAAACTGACAACCAACAACACTACCACTAATAAGGACAATGACGGTGAGTACATTTAATATGATTTTTTTTGTTTGTAATTCGCTTCAATTCACTTTTTATTCAAACTTTGTTAATAATTTATAAACTAAACTAAAATTTTTTGGCCGACACATAGGAATATATAGTTTTTACTGATGTTTATATTATGAAAGTTTTGACAACAAAAACCAACATATTTTATTAAACCTTTACTTTTTCAAACTGAGGGATTATTCTAACTTGAACAATTGTAATATAAAATTAATTCACATCCAGAAGTATATAAAAATTGTCCTATATTTTTCTATGTTGTATATACTTTGCCTGTGCATAGTAATCTAGCTTATATAATAAACAATAACTTCCTAGCCGAGAAAAGGAGTTTCTTTTATAACATATCTTATTAATATAATACCCCTTAGCTTCAATGTTTGTTTTGAAATTAAAACATGTTTATATATATCTTCATAAGACTGATTTTTTTTAATTCATGTCCTTAAACATTTAAGAACTATAACATATGTACAATATAGTTACTTACGTTTAATACAAAGTATTAGTATATAATAATTATTGCATATTTAAAAATTTTACTGCAGTCGAACGAAGAGATAGATATATGTACTTCCGTGATGCATCTCTTAACTAAGTACTATGGAAAATGGTACATATATAGTATTATTTTAATATTAATCTACAATATATATTATCCACAAATCGAAGGTTTAAGTCTTGAAAAAATATTAAATAATTCAAATATTTAACTAAAATAACACATTATTATTTGTGCATATTCCTAAACTATGTACTGTATAATATTACAATTACAATATTAAATCAAAACCTTACAACATTAATAAAAAATATTAACAAATTTAACATTAAATTTAATTTAACAAAAGCAATATAAAACTATATCTATAAGAAGTCTATAATATTATTTAGTCTGAGTTATTTTAAATTAGGTAATTTTAAAAAAAAGTAAATGAATAAAACTTAAATAGAACCACAAACATACAATAAATTCAAAACAAAATTTTAATAAATAAATATAATTTCAAATTAAAATTATTAGTAACTATCAACTATCAATACATGCAATGATTAACTTCCAAAATTATGTCAGGACTTCCACTTATAAAAAGTTTTATGACAATTTTTCATCTGACTCATAAATGTATATATGGCATATTAAAAAGATAGAAATCAAAAACTTCAAAATCTAATACAAATAATTTTATAATTATTTGATTTGTACAAAACAAAAATTTCTACGTCGGTTCTATGATATTTTTAATATATGTACTTAAACAGTTAACTCCGTCCTTTGAATGGGCCTTAGAAAAGTTAAACATTAAAGTGTTCACACTGTTTACACTTTAATTTTTTCTTAATTGAATTTGCCGCCATACTTTTTTCATTGTTTGGAGAAAAATTTCTTTTAAAGAATTTATGAATTTATGAAATTTTTGTCAATTCATCTTTTAAAAAAATTTAAGAAAATCGATTTTAAATAAGAAATTATAAATTTATTCTCTGCTACAATTTTGTTCACAAAATATTTTTTTGTTTTTATCTCAGTTATTTTTATTCACATCTTTATTTTCTATTTGGATTTGGTATGGCAAATGTGATTAAATGAGTCAATTGGCGATAGTCTAAGCATAAAAAAGTTGAAATGAAATTGGGACATTTTGCTATAGTAGCAATTATCGCAATAAACTGAAATAAATGTCGAATAATAGCTTCAAGTGGAAGTGACTGCAAACTAAACTACCTTTACATCTTATGTTGAGCGTGTAAATGAATGTGTATTCGTATTGTGTATATAATTTGTACATATATGTATGTATACACAGTTCTTTTTATATTAATCTTATTGAGTACATATTGAAGCTTAATTTGGTAAATTTTTCCCTTACCCAATGCTATAATGCCTCTGTCCAAACCTGCCTTAAAACTGTATTTTTTGTCACGATACTGAAGTTGCGAAGAAATCCTGCAAACGTTGCACGGTATTGCGATCCAACTTACATAAATCAAAATCGAATGTTTTTGCTGTTATTTCATAGCAACCGGTCGCAGCAATCATTTCTACAACTTGTTGTAGTTCTTCGTTATCCTGTAACGTCATGATTTTTTGATGCAGTTCCTGTAATTCATTTAAATATTCAGTGGGTAGTGTGGCTGTAGGTACAGTAGTGGTACCGCCAGTTACGTTGGAAGGTGCATTGGATACTGCATCATTTGCTAACGCTGGTGAAGCTGGATGCACTGGTGGTGCTAATGGAACATTATTTGAAGATGTAGTTGTTGTAGTAGATGTAGCAGGAGAAGAAGCAATACTGTTAGCAACTGAATTAGAGGGTGGTGCTAAAAATGGACCATTATTCACATCTACACTGTTACACCGTGTGCCACGAAGTGATGGTGAACGTGACTTATCTCGAGTTGTAGCTTTGTTTGTTTCCTTTTTTATACGTTTAACTGTCGGCTCGACAAATGTATTCACAGCTATTGAATTGCGTCTTCTTTTCTTATCATCTTTTCCAATTTCTTCAATTTTTTCTAATTCAGAGGACTCCGCTGGTTTTTGTGCTTGTTCCACAAAATTATTAATTTGTTTGGTTTCTTTCGGACCGGCTGAAGACTGTTTAAACTCCTTATTTAAAGGAGACTTTGCATTTTTCACTATCGAGGCCTGTGTTACCATATTGCTACTTGATTTCTGTGTCAAATCAGGAAAACTACTATTTGAACTATCAGAAACGTGGCCGGAGTTTGGCTCTATTCCTATTGCAGTTGGAGAATCAATTTGCATTTTTGATGGTAGTAAATTTGCTGGAGAATTTGCGCTATTATCATCACTTAAATTAATGTTAGTTTTGCAACTTAAGGGGCTAGCACTATTTGTTGCACTTGTTGGTGTGCTAACCTGTTTGGAATTTTTAGATATTTTGCCTTTGATGTCAATATCAATTTCTTTTTGTCGCTTTTCATCTCTATTTGACTTATCTTTGGGTTTCTTTTCCTTCCCTTGACTCTTTTTTGTGTTAGTAGTATTATCCAAGATGGAAATATCTACTGGTGAATTTGATTGATTGCTGTTAGTATTCAATTTTAGAACATCGTTTGTAACCAAAAGAGCAGTCGGTTCTGCAAGTTTTTCATGTAACTTACTTTCAAACTTTTCCTTTTCTTTCCCCTTTTCTTTTTCTTTTTCTTTATCCTTATCCTTATCGCGCTCTTTTTCTTTATCTTTGTTTTTATCTTTTTTCTTATGTTTATGTGATTTTTTATCCTTTTCGCCATTGCTATTATTTGTAATTATTTTCTTATCATTGCTGGCGCTAGATGTACTGATCGTACTTGATATACTTGTCGGTGTGACATTTGATGTCACAATTGTATCTTTTTCTATTTGCTTGATGTTCCCCTTTTGTTTTAAAGCATCTATATTTACTTCTTTCTCATACTTTTTATTATCAGTATTAGATGCTGAAGTAGCTTTTGCTTCTTTTTCATCTCTAATTGTAGAACTAATGGGCATATTTCCTCCTATTACAGTAGTCCTCTCATCTTTAGTTTTAGAATCTAAACTTCGATGTTTCTCTCGATGCTCTTCACGTTTTTCTTTGTCTTTCTCACGATCTTTATCCCTATCTTTTCTATCTTTTTTGAATTTTTTTCCGCTTGAACTTGAGATTTGTTCTTTAGCTTTTATATCTTTGGAATCAAATTTATTTGCTGTAGATATCATTGTTCTAGATTCTGTGAAACGTGAATTTGTAGTGCCGCTTACAGGTGTTGTTGCTCTCTTTGGACTAGATCCACCATCGCGTAAACTAGATCTCGGACTAAGTCCGCGTTTCATAATTAAATTGCTATTACCCTTCTCTCTACTGCGTTCGCGATCTTTTTCACGTAATTTATCCTTCCTCAATTTTTCTTCAATTCGTTTCTCATGCTTGCTACTATCATTAGAAGTTGATTTTCGTTCGACTCCACCTCTTCCATCTTTATGTGGACTAAGCAATTTATATTTTTCTTTTTTATCTGTTTTATCCCTGTGTTTTTCAAAATTACTACCACCCGTATTACCTGCACCATTCGACTTATCTTTTATAAATTTCTCCTTTGAGAAAGTACTACTTCCACTACTATTATTTGGATTTAATGTAGATGATTGTGAACCAGCACCGAACGTTTTAGCATTTAGATTACTTTTGCTTTCTGGAGATAATTTTGTTGCATTTTTCGTAATTGGAGTACCAAAAAGATTGGCAAAAGTACCAGGTTTTCCATCATCTGTGCGGGATCTATGTTTTTTGCTACTTGACTCGCCACAGCTTAATTTTGGTTTGCTCACCATGCCTTCATCACTAATTGAGGTATTACTTTGTGCAAGATTAATTCCACTACCTATCACACCAGACACAGGGACTCCACCACCTTTTAGTAATTTTGGTCGGAATTCTTCTGAAGGAGATTCAAATATAAATTTTTTTATTTCAGAACGATGATGAGGTGGCCCAGTTTGTTGAAGATCTAAGTCATATGTAAATTGCACTCGTTTTGGTTCATCTCTATTACGAAAATATATTTCAATCGGGAGTAAAAATCCAGCATATCCAGATTCTTGTATAACATATGGTGTCTCTTTGCAAACTGAAATTATAAATTTACTTGAAAAATATTTTACTTTATTTTACTAAAATGAAAATTTAATATAATAGTAAGTGTTCCAGTTCATTAACTGATTATAATCATTGATAAACCACAACTTATAGTAAACAGTCACGTTATAGTTTTTGATCAATCGTGGCATGGCATTCGGTATTTATTATATATCGAATACCTTTTACCAATGTCACATCATTTATATCCACTTTAAACATATTTACTTTGAATTGAATTTAAAAACTGGTCACCCAGTTATACGATTTTACTTACCCCTCTTTGGTTTAGGAAATGAATCGTGCAAATTAAAAACGACCTTGTCAACGAACGTGCTAATGTCGACTTTGTTTACGCCCTGTACGTACAGCTCCCAGTCGTGTGTAAATCCTTCCGGAGTCTTTTTGCTACGCAACTTCGCTGTATGCCCGATTTCGAACTGCACTTTTACTGCCATTTTCGTAGTTTACTACTATAAAGCAATCTCAACTAAAAATTAAAAAAAATATTGCATTGATTTTTATAAAGAAGATTCGGAATATGTATTTTTAAGAAATAAGGTACATAGAAAAGTGCATGCGTGACTAAAACAAAGGGGGTGGACTATTTAGACGCGCATTTTCGGCTAAGAGGATACATAATATGCGGCCTGTTTACTGAGTTATACATAAAACTAGATAATATTGATATCTTGATATACTTACTTTTTATATAGTTATGTGCTTATTATAAAACTTTTGTAAAATTTTTACACATCTGAACATATTTTTATACATCAATATTTATTATTGTGCTGCACTTTTTGTACTTGCTTAGAGCACATTTTCCATTTTCGCAACTCACTTTTTTAGTTTTGACTTCATGTTCATATGAAGTGGAAATATATTCACTTATTTTCGTCACAAAAACGACAGTTATTTACACAAATATACATCATAGTTTTTTTAAAATTACTACTGCTTATATATTTAAATATTTTCACCTTTAAATATTTTTCTAACCAGAAAAAAAAACAGTACTTGAAGATTTACCTATCCAAATAAATTCGCCTTATTTTTATTTTTTGTTCCATTGTTATTCATCGCCATATTTACCTGCACAGTACGTTCAGTGCAAACCTTTTGATATATTGTAACTAAAATCAATAGTAGCAGAGATTACATATATTGTAAAAAGATATATTTATAAAAGATTAACATATATTTAATCACAAGATAACTTAAAATACATGCAACTTTAGTTGTTTGCTTATTATAAATAAGATGTAAATATATATTTATTTATATAAATTATAAATAAGATAAATATGTATACATTGTATATATGAGTCTGATAATTTAATTTGTTTTTCAATACCAACAGTTAATTATTTTTGCTAAAAATATATATGGTGATATCTTGCCGTAAAGTAGTTATTTTAATTTTAAACAAAAAAAATCAATTGACGTAATTCTGACGAGAAAAAACTAAAAAAAAATCAAATTTTTAGTACATTCACATTATCTCATTTAGGCATTTTGCTCATTTATAAGTGAACGTGAAGTGAACGCATAAATGAGCTTATTATAATAAGCTCATTTATGCAGCTAATAGAACTTCTATAAATTTCATTTGATAAAATTTCACACAAAAAAATGAAATATATAATTGATATATTAAATCATTTATATACATTTTAAATAACAACTATATATTCAATTAATAAAAATAAAAATTTTATTAAGTACTTACTTTCTCAATATCTTCATTTAATAAAACTTTACACAATAAAAACGAAATATATAATTGATATATTAAATCATTTATATACATTTTAAATAACAACTATATGTTCAATTAAAAAAATAAAAATTTTATTAAGTACTTGCTTTCTCAATGTCTCTGTTTACAGCTCAGCTGTTGTTTGTTTACATTTTAAATATAAAACATATGACACATATTTCAAATCTTTTTACACTAATAGGGTGTTCATGGAGCACTGATTATCGGGTTATGTGGTGATAAAATGAAAAATAACCTGTATGCACCGTGAACAGACTTTTTCGTAGGTTATCTGGTTATTTTTATACAATCAGCTGTTCTTTGTTTTTGTCGTCAGTACAAAGAAACTTCAATTTAAATTTCAAAATCAATTGTACACAAAATGCCTAAAAAGAGTATAAAAAATTAAATTATAGACTTGAAAATGATTGCAGCTATTAAAGATCTTGAATTTATCGAAGATATGTGCTTTAAAGCTTAATAGTTGCAAAAATCAAAGTTTTTCTATTTATAGACACAGCACACTTCAACCAATGGTACTCTCTCATTGATGAAAGAATGGATGAACTAATGGAGGATGTAAGAACAATCACATCTTTTCGACGAGGGGATGAACTAAGTGTGCCGAAATCCATTCATTGGCAAGATAATATTTTATGTTGTTTCGACGAAGGACGATTTTTGCAAATGTTACCGGTCAACAAGAGTCAATTTGCTCGTCTTGTTAAAATATTTGCAAATGATATAATATTCAAAGGTCCAGTATCCAATATGCAAGTGCCCGTAGATTTACAACTCGTGATAGTACTATTCCGTTTAGGCTCTTCAAGAGAAAGTGCATCAGTGCGAAAAATAGCGACTACTTTTGGAGTGGGAGATGGTGGAACTCTGACTAAAATTACCCAGAGAGTATTTTCAGCAATTTTGAAATTACCGGCATACATTCGATGGCCTTATTGCTCATATGTTCAGTGAGTTACCATTATTTATTGGTTATATTGATAGAAGTGAGATAAAGCTGGCCTAAAAACCTAGCAATAACCATGAGGCATATTTCTCTCGTCAACGAATATATTCCATTAAATTGCAAGTTGTGTGTCATCATAAGCTCCGCATCATGCACGCATTAGTGGGTAATCCGGGAAGCTACCATTATTCTACAATATTTAAGAAATCGCATATTGGAACAATATTGAGGAATGGTGAATGAAGAATGTATTGCAGGTGACTCTGCGTACCAGTTGACTAAACATTTGATAACGCCATTTCGCACTAATTCTTTAATGAATATTGAACAACAAAACAAATTCTATAAACGACACAGCCAATACCGTGTTAGAGTTGAAAATTCTTTTGGAATTCTTAAAGAAAAGTTTTGCAGTTTAAAACAAATGAGAGTTAAAATAAAAGCCAAGACAAAAAAAGCCAAAAATTCTTCAATTCTTGGATTCTCGTTTGTTGTGTGTTGCATAATAATTTGTTGGAAGATCGGAATTTTTCACAATTTGAAAGTGAGAATAGCGAAAGGTGTGAAACGCAGTATGATAGCAATACTATGCTGCACCTATACCTGAGCTAAAAAGACAAGCACTGTATAATATGATGTTTGAATAAAAGTACACATTTTAAAATACTTTTATTAAGTTTGTTTTATTATTTATTTTTATATTTCACATCAATTTTATATTTTTTAATTCTTTATTTTCGTTCTAACTCTAATTTCTTGAGTTTGAGCTCATTTTCAATTTTCTGCCTTTCCAATTCTAATTTTTGTTTTTCCATATCTTTTGTCCACTCGAATTTTCAATTTCTAAGCTTAATTGCTCTTTCCGAAATTTAAACCGGTCAATTTCCATATCTCTGAGCTTATCAATGCAAGTAGGACGTGCTGTACACTTAACCTTGTTTTCAAAGGAAATAGTTTCACCATCCAATATAACACTGTTTTCTTCCAAATCAGTTCCATCAAGAGTACAGTCCAATGTGTTCGATGTGTCCATTACAACAAATTCAATTTCCTTTGAAGGTGAAAAAATGTCGACAAGCTATTCGTAATGTGGATATATTTTAACTACCTTGTCTGCACATAAACAAAAAATTTAAAACTATTGTAGTAAAAAGTCTACACTAAAATGATTATAAAGTTTACCTTTCACAGTAGTTGTATTGTCATCATCCTCAACTCCAGCGCCTGTTGAATTAATCCATGCATCAGCTTTTTGCAAAGTATTTTTCAGATGGCGAACTTTGCATTTTAAAATGTTAAAATTTGCATTGATGTTTGTTTCTGCCAACAATTTTTTGTGATATAGCTGGGCTGTTGGTTTCTATCATTAAATATATTTATGAAATAAAAGTTATAACCCAAAGTAACAATAATACAAATCAAAATACAAATTACCTCTATGTTCCTGGGCTCTGGCATATAGCTTAGTACTTTTTTATTTCTTCCTCTGTCCATTTCTTCACTTCATTTTCTCTTTTGCGTTTTCGGATTTTGTTAGACACTGAAAATGGGAAATAAATTATCATAGGTATATTTTTATTTAGGACAGATCATTTTAACTTACTTTTTCAAAATTTAAATGTTTGTTTACAAACGAAACTAGCTGTAAATGTTAGTGATGCCAATTTGAAATTCAAAATTCGTGGCGCCATCTGGAAAATTAATCTTTTTTGTGATGCCATTTGCTTAAATTTTATATTATTTTTCAACACTACAAATAACCACAAAACCACATAAATTTGTATACATAGGCAGGGGTCGCGCAGAGTTGGGTATTTTTATTTAGTGCATTTTGTTGTTGCTCATATAAGCACATACGCACATAACCCGATAACTAGTGCCCCGTGAACACTCTAATATATGTTTAGACACACATTAATTTAACGAAAATCTTAATTTTATCTTCGTTTTAGTGGAATTATGTTGTATTTTTCATACAAAATGCAGTTTGAAGGTTAGATTCAAAGCCTTAATTTTGTTGAAACGAAGGTTGAAATTAAGGAAATTAACAAATGCAACTATGCGAAAGATAAATTTTAAGCAAAAGATAACTTTTTTGTGAATTATGCAAAGCACACTTAAATTCCAACCAACGAACATGCATTCATTCGACCATATGTTGCGAATTTGCTGTAACATGCATTTTAATAGCCCTTCGCCACCAGCTTTAAACTGCTAAGGCGGTAAACCATCGACGACTGCCGCTTTGTTGTTTTCGCGATCTTCTTCGCTTTCAGTTACATCATTACTACTGCCATTTAGTAGATTCGAGGTGTGATCCTTCTAAATTTTAAGCATGCTTTGTACATCTATCATCAGATTACTATTTTGATCTTTGCAGGAATTTACTCTGGGTTTATAACCATTTGTCGGGCGATTTGTTTCTTTGTCAACGGTGAAAGTCAATCACCTCTTCTGTAGCGGCACGCTTAAAGTTGAAGATGTGGTTACATTGCGCGCATATATTGGTTTCTTTAGATTCATTTTCCAAATACTGGGAGAGTCGAGTAGCGAAGTCATTAGCTGTCTGTAGCACTGACGAATGCTCTAAGGTGTGGAGATGTGCGGCGCATACCCCAACATAATTTGCAAAATGTTAAATAATATATATATAAATTTATTAAATATCTTTACATAGAGAATTAATATTATATACATATGTATATTTTTAAACATTAAAGTTTTAACGAAAACAATTAAATATAATTGTCTAAGAAAACTCAATCATTTTGTTTTTTTTAACTGCTATAGTTGTTAGTTGTGCTCATATGTTTGCTGCTCGATTGCAGAACATTTCTATTATATTTCGTCTTTCCCCTTTGTGTGCGGAGAAGTTGATCCCACATTTATACGTTGTTCTGTTGGCTAAACAGAAAAATGAACAAAATAATGTGCAGGTGCTCACGTTTGTAATATGAGAAATAGAGATTTATATAGTGGAAATTGCATGAAAGTAATTTTATGTTCTATTCGAATATCAACTGCATGCATTCGAATCCAACATGTTGATTTGCCGAAGCACTTAGTTGTGCGTTCAAATCTGCAGCACACATTTAAGTACAGTTCCTTAAATTTCGTCTCTCCCCTTTTAGCTGTAGCACAGCGAATATCAACCGCTTGATGTGCGGAAAAGTTGGCCGCACATTCATACTTTGCAAGTGTGTATGTATGTTATAAGAAGTATGTAAAAAGTTATGTTTATTCCATATCATATTAATATTACTTATTAATATGATATTACTGATTACTGATATAGTATTACTGATATCATATTAAACTCATATATAAATTATTTATTTAATTTGTTTAATATGTTATTTTGTTAATGAATTGTTAAAATTATATATTGTAAATATATTGTTGCCTAAAAACATCTCATATATTTCAATTTATCATTTTTAATTTAAGTGTTATATGTAAAAACAAACTTCATTACTTTTGTATATTTGTAACTACCCGTTACTTTTCGAGTATGTATTCGTTACTCAGTATTCGTTACTGCGTTTTCGTTACTGTTCTTTCGTTGCTGCGCTTTCGTTACTGTGCTTTCGTTACAGAAGTTTAAATGCTTTTTTTCGGCAATAAAAGGAATTTTTAAAAGCATATATATTAATTATAATAAATTATAGATATAGTAAATTAGAATTATTACTTTATTGAATTGTTTGATCCGCATATTTTGCATTTAGTTTTCACCTCCTATTGATTTCAAATGAATCCAAATTTCACTTTTTTTATATTAATGTTTTTAAACATTTTTAATAAATTTGATAGCGAAGAAAAATTTAGTTCAAAATAAAGTAGTTATTATTATACCGCGAATACAATTACTTAAAAGTAATCGTTACCAGGTACTCGAAAGAGTAGTTATAACAAATACTACTCATTGGTAAAATGAGAAAAGTAACAAATACAATAAAAAGTTTGTATTCGTTACTCCGGTATTCCTTGAGTAACGAATACAAAGTTAGGGCACGCGTCGTCCCTGATCTGTTGTGCTCATTCACAATCATAATTCACAATAGTCACAATAGTATAACGGTATTGTATAAAATTTTCCTTTTATGTTAAAACATGAGAAACAGGATTAAGAATAAAACTATGATTTACTATGCAACCATGTTTTTAACGAAGCTAGCCGAACGAACATAATTACAATCAACATTATATTTGCTTGTGTGAACATTTAATTTTAAAGATGAAATTGTTAATAATTGACGTATGCTAAATGTAAAATTTAAACAGTAAAATATATACTAATGTGTACTCCTAATGATTTATTGCTCATAGTTTCGCATGGAACGCTATTATATGATTGTTGCTTGTATTAACATATATCTGCCCTTATATACATATATCTAAACTGTACTGGAATAGGAGATATTTTTGATATTCGTCAATATTGAACTGTTAAGAAACTTAATTTTATTTGATGGTGGCATTTCTGACATCCGTTCTAGCTTCTCAGAGAACCCAGAAGAAGGGACAAACTTGAGTCCAAAACACTGCCAAAATAGTTTTAAAGTTATGAGTAACAAAAAAAATTTTATAACAATCTCTCACATTCTAGTATGAGTGTATTCTTGTTACAGATAGCAAGCAATGAAAACCCAATGATAGTTTTTTCTTACAATGAAATTGTCTCATTTTCACCCAGATACATTCCATATACTCTAAGACCAAAAATTTGATTGAATTCGCTTTTATTATAGAATTAAATACTTACAATTAATAATAAATACAAAATTAATTAAAAAAATTTTAAAATTAGCAACGGTTAGTTTATGAACTACCGCGAATTCTTTCAATAGTTAGTATAGATTAATCGAATATTTTCAATTCTCTCGTAATTTTTTTTATTTTGTTATCTAAAGTTTTGTCTTCATATTCACATATATAATGATGGCGTGATGTGCACTCCTGACCGTAGTAATAGTAAAAATGCTTTGTTGGATTGTATGACAAACGTAGACAACGCCCTTGGCCTTTAATTTCAATAGTATTATTGAGAACAGTTTCATTAGTCGATTCTTCAACTTTATTCTCATCACTATTGTCAACAGTTATTGATTCTGAGTTTGAAGAACCAGTGCCATTTTCATGTGACATAGCTATAGAGGTAAGATTCATATTTGGATTAACCGGTTTGGCTGAATTAGACCAAATCCATAAAAGACCCGGATTTAGACCACCTAACCAATATTCACGGCCACGATGATTCGGTTGATTTAATAAATATGCCATAATCTCTTCGTTTTCCGAAACTCTTTCAAATTCCGCCAAATGTGCACCAAGAGCTTTACATGCAGAATTCGCAGTTTTCCAATTTACTTGCAATTGACTGTTGATAAAATAACAATTGTCACTAATACGCGTGAAATTACTCGGGCAGGGATCTTTCACTACAGAAAAATATTGTCGAATTAAGTAATAATCAAAACTAAAATAATATATTTATATATACCTTCTTTTTGATTGTTTCCCGCCATAAGATAGTATATCAGTTGTTCAGCGCGACGTATTCGACTTTCAAGATAATCTACACGGTAAACCAGTTTCTCAATTGCACCTAACAGATATAAATCATTTTCCGAAACAGCACGAAAAGTTTGTGGCATGTTGTGTTGTACTGTATTATGCTGCAGGGGAACTGGCCTACCTTGGTGTTGCTGTTGTTGTTGTTGTTGTGGTAGATTTGACATTGACGGTGCAATGGAAAGAGTATTAGTACTTGATCCTATGCCAAATAATTGTTGTAAAAATCCAGGTTGTTGTTGTTGTTGTTGCTGCTGCTGTTGTTGTTGATGATGTAGCATTTGATTTGTCATAGGACGAAACTGTGGGTTTACAACTTTAACAGGCGGTCGTAAATGAGGCTCTAATTCTACAGCTTCCCCTATGCGTTTTGTAATGAAAACATTCGGACGTTTATATGCAGACGAATGGTAATTTATTGGTGGCTGATAAGTTGGTGAACCATTGATGGTCATCATTGATGGATTGTTAGAGTGAGGTACTGATGCTGATCCCGATATGTCATAGTCAATACCAATATAAGGAAGATCCTTAGATATGCGATTGCTTGAACTATGGCTGGAAGACACAGCAAAAATGTTTAATATTTTTAACATGTGTATTTTGATAATGGAAAAAATATGAATTTTGAAAACACAAAATAACCGAAATTTTATAGGTTTTTCTTAGAAATACGAATAAATTGAGAGTAGAAATTGTAGAAGTGTTTTTGCTCCAACACAATTATCTATCAAATATCTATACAAACGTTTTTTTTTAAAGTTTGTTATATGGAACCGTTTAACATAAATGCAATGTATCGTATATGATCTAATCTATATAAAAATCGAAATGTAACTTGTTGAATCTTTAATAATTTAATTCGTAATTAGTATCGTAATTAGTTGTTTTATAAGATGTATTTATAATTTTGAAGGTATAATTCGTGTCGATGATGATATGGTAGTATTCTAATCGAAAAAGGCGCACCTTCAAACAAAAATGAAGGACTTAGACTTAGAAAATTGATTTACGTATAAATGTTACTAAAATAAATTATATGGCGTAGAAATCGCAGTATTAATACAAGACAACCAAATAAAAATAGCAATACGTTATTTTATTAGTATTGGCGTCACTTCAAATGCTAATGCAATTAGAACTATGAGAAGAAAAATATTCAAAGCTTTCGTATTATTCCCAAGACTTAAAACTCAAACAAAATATTATCTGTAACGTTAATTCATGTTTCTAAAATTTGTTGAGTTTGATGGTTAAAAATAAAATAAAAATTGTAGAATAATTTTAGGTGCTTCTGTTAGAGATGCTTTTGTAACATAAATATAAACAGGTGTGGTGAATACCAAATTCTATACTGTATTTATGCTCAAGTCAAGGTTCGTATCTCTCAACACTCAACAATGAAGCACACAAATCTCTATATGAACTACGATATTTAATAGCTTGGATGGTAAGAGAAATAATTGGAGAGTTCATATACCGAGCCTATGTTCCTAATGGATAATGATTAACAAATAAATACTATGTATTGATTCATTATATATTCATATTCATTATCCCTAAGAGAAAATAAGTTTTATTTCAAAAACTTATTACTTTTCTTTTTAAATAAATATTCAAGCTCGCAGACTGATTGATTTTGTTAAGCATCGGTCGGTTCTACGTCACTGAACTTTTCGTTCATGATGACTCAGTTCTGTTAACAACCCGCAATTTAAAAAAAAACATTGATCTTGCTAGAACTATTAAGTCAGTCTTAAATTCAACAATATATATATAAGTATATATATAAATTCAATATATATATATATATATATATATATATATATATATATATATATTATATATATATATATATATATATATATATATGTATACATACCCTTTTAATTATGCTTTGATCATCATGACAAATATTGCAAGTGTAACACACGTTTTAAAATACTAACATTGACTAATACTCTAATATAAACCTAATATATATGATCAAAAAAGAACGAGAATTTAAAAAAAAACGCAAAATTTTAATTTTTAATAATTTTCTTTATTATCGCCTTTAAAGTACTCTCCTTCTGCGGCAATACATGCATGCCAACACATGATCCAATTTTCCATACAAGTTTTATAGGACGCCGAAGGTATGGCCTTTAGTTCACGCAGCGAATTCTCTTTTGTGGCCTCTATGGTCTCAAAATGCATTCCTCGCAAAGGCAATTTGAGTCGGGGGAAGAGGAAAACGTCACACGGGGCCATATCTAGAGAGTACGGTGCATGGTTGATGATATTGGTGGAGTTTTTGGCCAAAAACTGCGACACAACCAACGTTGTGTGAGCCGGTGCGTTATCGTGGTGTAAAATCCATGAGTTTTCCTTCCATAAATCTGGCCTCTTTTTGCGAATGACCTCACGCAAACGATGCCTAACGGCCAAATAATACTCCTTATTGACCGTTTGACCGTCCGGAAGGAATTCATATCGAAGAAAACAGTCAGCATAACCTTGATTTTGGACCGACTTTGGCGTTCTCTTTTCGGTTTCGGCTCACCTTCGAAGCACCATTCGGTCGATTGTTGTTTGGTGGCCATGGCAAATTCATGGACCCATGTCTCATCACCAGTTATGATGCGTTCGATGAATGTGGGGTCACTATCTGCGTTGGAAATCATCTCATTGGCCACATCACAACGACGCTTTTTTTGAATGAAATTCAGCTTTTTTGCCACCAGCCGAGAAGCGACGCGTTTCAAACCTAAAACATCAGTTAAAATATGTTCGGCCGATCCATATGAGATGCCCAACAATACTGTAATCTCTCTATTTGGTTCACAACGATTTTCAACACGATCTGCTTCGCCGTTTCAATGTTTTCTTCAATAACAGATGTTGTTGGGCGGCCAGGGATCTCATCATGGTCCAAGCTTGTACGACAGTCTTTGAACCTTTTAAACCATTCGTATACTGGTGGTTGCAGCACACACAAATCTCCAAGGGCCTTTTTTTAACATTTTCAACGTTTCGGCACACTTGAATCCATTTGCAATACAAAATTTGATGCACGTAAGTTGTTCTAATTTTTGATCCATAATAAAAATCGCTACACGAAAATTTTTCGACTTCTTTGTATAGACGCCAAACAAAAACTAATCGTACGATATGCGTTAAACTTTGACAGAATATGTATAATAGTGTTGCCAGCGTGAAAATAAAAAAAATTTACCGATTGGATAAGCGAGGGAATTCAAAAAATTAAAATTCTCGTTATTTTTTGATCACGAATAACACTACAATATATATATAGGTATAATTTCCTAATTTCATTTAATTTAACGCATAACTCAATAAGTCGTGTGGCTAACTAAGAAAAACAAATTTTTTCTGCAAAAATCGATTTTACTTCTCAATATGATCTCCTTCAAGGGGAATACAATCATTCCAACGCTTCTCTAATTTCTCGATGCCGTGCTTATAGAAGAATTTGTCTTTTACATCTAAATAGGGTTCAATTTCAGCAATTACTTCTTCATTTGAGATGAATTTCTTACCGGCGAACTTTTTTTTGAGATCAGCGAGTAGCCAATAGTCGCTGGGGGTCAGATCTAGACTATACGGTTAATGAGGAAGCAATTCGAAGTGTGATTCGTCCAATTTTGTCATCTTTTTTATTGACTTGTGACATGGTAACATACATTGTATTGGCGATGCCGTGTGTCAGTCACACGACTTATTGAGTGATGTGTTAACTAAGATAAAAAGCACGAAAGCTCTTCGTATGGTTAATCAAATTTCATTAGCGAACTGAATCACATAAACTGCTTTAACGATGGCAATGAATACATATGTACTAGTCTTCTTTTGCAAATCTAATGATAAAAGTACATCAATTTATGTTATGTACAATTCTATACCATTATCCCATAGGTATATATTAAATATATTTCTGACGAGCCCAAAGTTATTTTATGCCTTTTCTACCCTTAACTATATTATCAATATAACAAATATATACTATAATATATTGTAATGTGAATAACACACTTGCAAAGATGTTTGTATTTTGGTCATATTTATATACGAGTATATTTTATAAATGTTAACATATATGTATGTAAATTCTTTATTAGTTGTACATCCTGAACTAATCAGGAACAGTCAGGTCTGCCTGTTCGAATGCTCATAATTTATTCATTATAATTATTTATTAAAACAAGTATTATTGCCTTTTTATAAATCTGGACAGATAACATTTGAATGGCAATAAAATCGTTTCACTAACTCTATATTGATCTGCATGATATTTATAGTACGTAGTCTCTATATAAAAGAAATAAATACCCTTTATAACATTATTATAAATGGGTAATATTTAGATTGATCACCATACAAAACATTTGTTAAAACCCACTTTTTTTCTAAACTGCTGAATCGATCTGCGTTATTTATTCTACTACGTAATCTAATGTTAAATGTCTTTGAAACATTTAAGCATTTGATTCCAAGCATTCACATCAATCTTATTATATATCTAGATTATAAAAATACTCAGTCCATATCTCAAAGCATACTTTTGTCTTTTTAAATTAAAACATTAGAACAATATCACTAATATAGAATTATATTCTATTACATGTAAATTAAATCATTTTTTTTTCTTGAAATTAGTACTAAAATTTGAATATCACGTTTGATCTATAACCTGTCCGACAATCATGATATTTACCTTAGGGTATAGTCCTCCAAAAATTGCGACCATATCAAGCTTGATGAGTCTTCGCATACTTTAAGCTTCTGCTGTGGTGATTTATTTGTAAAACTTATTGACTCATTTTTGCTTTTGCTTTTGCTTTCGTTACATAATGTGAAATCGGTGAAGTTCAAAATTATAACCACACAACAACAAAACCAAAAATTGAATTTAGATACACGAGAGTTAGATTGAATTAATTTGAATGAACATATTCGTTTTGAATTGCTTTCGAGTTTGTTTAATTGCTTCATTTTTATTTTTTTCACTTATTTAGGAAAAATATGATTCATTTGTTAATTTGCTTTTAAATTATTATAACAGTTACACTTAATTCCTAGGCGCATTGAAGTCGCTACAAAATTTAGTTTTTGGCACTTTGAAATAAGCGTCTTTGCTGCCGCGTTGACCGATGTTTTACTTGAAACTGCAGGCATGCGTGTTACAACGCCACTCTCCACTGACATTGGAGAAGCCCAAAATACCATTTACAACTTTCTCCGCTATTTTGCATTCAAATTATCAACAAACATTGAGTTATGTGTACATACAGATTTTCTCAGCTATGTGCTTGAAGACTCTGCAGCTAAAAAATATACTTGTGGTATATATGTTAGTATACTCGTATGTTGCCAGAGATTAGTTACTAAAACTGTTCGTCTTTGCACAAAATTAATATTAATAGCAAATTAAATTTAGATCGATTGCTTTGTATAAATATTATAATATATGTAGATATATACTATATATATATATTAGTATATATGTAGAATACATATATATACTTAATATATATAAGTACCTAATAAGATTAATAAAAATGTGCAGGAGAAAAAGGAAAATTGACAAAAACTAGGTTGTAAATTTGCAACACAGTTCTCGAATCGGTTGTTACATAAGTAAAGGGACATTAGGGAAACCTCTTTGCAAAAGTATAAAAACAATCTGATAAGAATACATATATATACTTAATATATATAAGTACCTAATAAGATTAATAAAAATGTGCAGGAGAAAAAGGAAAATTGACAAAAACTAGGTTGTAAATTTGCAACACAGTTCTCGAATCGGTTGTTACATAAGTAAAGGGACATTAGGGAAACCTCTTTGCAAAAGTATAAAAACGATCTGATAAGAACTACACTAAGGAAATCAATGTAATAATTTTCTCATAATTCAATCATGTGTTAGCAGAAGAATAGCACAAATAAAACGGTATTCAGAAGCTGGAGATGCACAACTGCAAACGAGATGTTCTATGGTATTGGTCTATGCTACAAAATAGACCAACACCATATTGGAGATTTCCCAATTGACCCTGTATAGAGAGTTAATTTACTTTGTTTGGTTAGGGACTTGTCCAGTACGAAATACATATGTGTTAAAGTCAATTTCAATGCTAGTTAAATATAAATTAAAATAAATTTAATAATAAATAATAAAAATTATTATTATTTCTAGTTTAAAAAATATCCAATCTGAAATACAGATTTATGTATCATCTCATATAGTTGCCTATATAAAAGCCTGTATCATTTCATTTCAAATACATTTTCTCCACCTCAGGTATTTATTAACAATGTCATGCTCTTTATATATTATTATAAATAAGAAATTTTATGTAGGTTTACAATTTTTCTCAATTTTAATTTATTTGCACATTTCTCTATGATTGATTTATAAACATATATAATTTGCATTATTTTGTATTTTACATTGTATCCTCAATTAATGTAATTAATTGAGGACCTTTAGTTTCGATATTTTCATTTTCTTTTCTGAAATATGATTAATGACTGAAGCATATAATCGTTTGCAACCCCATACAAAATAGACAGTAGAATAAAACTATTAAAAGTTCTCATGTTCATTAAGACACAAATAATTGATTAAAACAACGGGGATTTGCGAAATAGAACATCTAAAGCAGGATGTATAACATTCCTCACTTAATACTATTGATACTATTGATACTATTAAAACAATAGTATTAAGTGAGTTATTATTATTAATCAGTCAGGCCTGAATCAAACTACACTGTGCTTTACTAAAATTTTATTTATTTATATTTATAATTATATGTGATAACACTTATAATTTCAAAAATTCGTTTATATACTAATTATTTTTCAAAAAAATAAATAAATTTTATTTTTTCAATTTTTTTTTTTTAAAAATTGGCATTGAAATAGTGATTCATTCATATTTTTGAATTAAAATTCATTCCGTATAGGTTTTCCCAACAAAATTTGCATAAATTTTTGCAAATTCAACTGTAACATAACTTAATTTTGAGCGTGAGTAATTTTTTTTATTAAAATTAACACTTTTGTCTGCTTTAAAGAAATGAAGTATATACGTTATATCTTCTAAAAGATAATATAAGCATATGTTATGCGAAAATTAGTTAATTAATTAATAAAAGAAATAATTTTTAGTTCAAAATTATTTAATTATTGTTCTTATATATTGCCATAGCCGCCAGGTATGAAATTGTTGAAATTTAGAAACGTCATAGTATACTCATACACTTCGTGTTTAGGTATTGCCCCTCGTAGAGGTCTGCGTCGTATAGAACCGTAGATATGGCTAGTGACCTGCAAAGTGGAAGTTTTGTCGAACGTTAGAGAATTGCACATTCCAGTTGCCTTTTTAGCCTATAGAATCAGCTATTAGTAATCGTAATTTTTCGTTTCATAGTCCGAGCGGTGCGACAGAAATGAAACTCTTTTTGCCACTAGTCGACACTAATCGACATAAATTTGATTAACAAAGGATGATCATTTCCATTCTTTACTTATGAAGCAACAAGTAGTTTTTAACGGCATACTGCAGGAGTATATTGGTTTTAGATAGATACTATATATATGATACTATAAATATGGTTCATATATTATGCAGATGTTGTAGCAGAAAGGTGACTTCTTATAAAATTATTGAATGCTGTTTTATACATTAAATTAATTGATTGGTTGTAAATGTCGGTGATATGTTCTGGAGTTTTTGGATTTTTCTAAATGTTTTAAATACTAGTTAGGGAATAGTCATAAAAATTCCTTAAATCGTTAAAAAGACATTCTATCCGTGTTCTAAAAACATTAGGATTGAAAGCATTGTTAAAGCCCATAACTAATTATTATCTTTTGAATTAAGAAATATGTAAATATAAAATTTGCTGTATTACCAAACAAAAATCATAATTTTTTTATATTTTTGTTGTATTATAGTTTTTTTTAATTTTAGTTGTCCATTGCTGTATTTAAATAATTAAAATAAACAAATTAGTATATCTATCTCTCCCTTATTGAATATAATAAATATACGATATGATAAGCGTTGTTGTTGTTGTTGTTGTTGTTGTCGTTGTTAGTTTTTGATGTTTGAGTTAAAATTATTTAAATTTTATAAATTTCATTTGCATGTGTTTTTTTAATAAATAATTTAAAAAATTATAATGATTTTTTTCCAAATAATAAATTCTTTACTACTCTATAGTTTTTTATGATTGTTTAGTTATTCAATTAAAAAAGTTTTACAAATAGTAAAAAGTGTATTTAAATTTATTAAATTGTTTTAAATATATTTTTAATATCAAGCATGCCTTTGGAGCTACTTCCTTTGGTGGTCCCAGGTCAAGTCAGCAGGTAGCAGCATGTGCAACATTCTTTGTTGTTGGTTTTATTGTTGTTGGTAATAATATAGAGAAGTAGTCGCTCAGATACGAAATTTAATAACCGGCCAATTCGGCGAATGTGGAGTCCATTTCGTCGGCAAGGGACTTGTATCTGTCCTTGTTGACGCCCAATTCATCTGTGTATAAATATATATAATGCTCATTAGTTTCTGTATTAATACAAATCAATATAAAAATTATATTGTTTTCACTTAATTTGGTTTTTGCAAGATTTTTAAGTACGCAAGCAAAATTTTTGTGCTGATTAAATGCAATAATAAAAAAATAAAACTACAATACTAATAAAATCAGTAAAACACAAATGACAGATATACAAATATACAAGTATACAAATATATAAATTCTGTACGTAAACAATAAGACATATTTTGCAAATAATAAAGAAAGAAAATGGTGCTTATTTGTGAAAAAGAGAATAATATAATTGGTGCACACAAACAACATACATGATAACAACTTCTGAAGAACGATTTGTCGTACTGAATTTAAAAAAAAATCTTAACATCATTTACTAAAATAATTAATTTTTATATTTTTTATATATAAATGAAATTCAAAAAATACAGTACACAAATCAAAAGGATAAAATGTGGCTAACTGCACTAAAAACACAAAATTAAAATAAGAAAAAAACTGCATTTTCAAACATAAAAATTGTTTTATAATTTAACTAACACTTATTATTAATTGTAATATTAATTAATAATATAGAGAGATTGTTAGGAGAATTGCAACATTCAAGTTGCATTATAGAAATGGGATTGACTTAAAAATTGAATGTTTTATATAGATTTTATATAAAACTATCCTATCTTATTTTAAATTACCTTAATCGTTATCAATAGTTAACTGCAATAGTTTAAGTAAGAAATAATAGGACAGATTTCAGTTTACTACATATAGGACTATAGTATACAGCAGTGTACTAATTCCATTAAGGGGTTGAGTGCAATACATATAGCTGTATACTGTTTTCCTATAGATGTTTTCGTTATATTATTCCTTTCATACTCGTATATACTTCACCAATATTTCTATTGAACTGTTGGAAGAGGTAATTAGCTTCCTGCAGGCGTATTAAGGTTTAAATATGAAATATTGAAAACAAATATTTAATTTCAGTTGAATAATGTTAAGATAAACATGTGTATAAATGTTCGGGGTTTTTTTTTTAATGAAAATCAATTTAATAAGTTAAGCGCTTTTACAAACTAATCTTTTCTGATCTGTCCGTATATTTGTAAATACGGGAAGTGTCGCATGAGAAAACGATGTCGCCTATACTGCTAATAGACTTACAGACTACTATGTTCAATTCTAAGAGTTAGAGCGAAGTAGCTGAATATTGTATATTTTATTTTATATCACAAAAGAGATGTCGACCAAAATGAACTGCAGAAAGTAGATAGATAGGTAATATGTATGGTATAGAGTGGATTCATTTGAGCGAATATAAGTTTATGGTAATAATAACAAAAAAAATATAACATGCTCTAGGGAAACAACTAATAGGAAACTATAAAATAGTCGATAATATTACACACACAATATAAAAAAGCTTATTTAAGTCACCTTATAATTGCAATGTATAAACGCATATGTACATCTTTTATAAAAATTGTTGCTACTACTATTTTATGCAATTGCTGCTTCTAACAGGGTTTTCGTGTTAAGTGTAGATGTTTGTTAAAATATACAATTCGTATAATATTCGTATAAAGTGCATATTGGGGGGAAAAATTAAATATATTTTACATATCTTGAGTTACTCTGTCCCAATGTTTTGTTAATGTATGATCAGGGCAGTAGTTTAAATTGCATAAATAAAATTTTACAATATGTTTCTGACATTGTGTTCGAATACAGAAAAGATTCAGATATAGAAAAGGTTTTTTTATGGGTTAACATTTCTCTATAGTTTGGAAAGTGTATAACTGATTATTAAAAATAAAAAATCGGTACAGACATATATTTGGTATGGATAAATATAATATCTTTTTTCTAATTGGAAATGGTAGTGTTTTTGTATTGTGTTTGGAGTTATTTTGCTAATATCCAGTAAGTTCGGCAAATGTTGAATCCAAATCATCGCAGATTGCTTTGTATTTTTCTTTTTCATGGAAGAGACGGTCTGGAAAAAGCATTTCATTTTTTGTACAAATTATTTATTTACAAAGCGTTATTTAGTAAGTTTTAAAAAAATATACATATTACAACGTCCACTATCGAATTATATGTATATTTAATTATTTCAATTGTATAAATATATACATATATATTATTTATTTGTAAGTTCCGCTAAAAAGTTTCCATTAATAAAAAAAAAGCCAATTGTTAAATTAGTTGAAGCAAGCATATATTTGCTTAAAATTAAAATTTATTTTGTAGTTTTTCACAGCAGAACGTTTTACATTTCTAAAACTTCGATATACTACAAAATTAAAATAAAACTTACCTTCTAGCCTGTCGACTTCCTTTTGTAAACGCTTAACTTGCTTCTCAGCATGTTCAGCACGTTGTTCTGCTTCCTTCAATTTAACAGACAAGGTCTTCATTTCACGTTTGAATTCTTCTACACGTTGATTGGCCTTCTCTTCAGAAACTTCCAAAGATTTGAGTGAGTTACCGACGACCTGTTTCGTACAGTAAATGATTACCTAAGTTCTTATTTACTCACAACATACAACAAACCTTTAATTCTTCTTCAAGTTCCATGATCTTGGCTTCACCGGACCTGACACGATCTTCAGCGACTTCCAATTCATCTTCAACGAAGGCCAACTTACGTGATACTTCATCAGATTTAGTATCAGCATCTTCAGCCAACATACGAGCTTCTTTCAATTGATTAGTCAATTGATCCATACGCTCTTCATCTTGTTGAGAACGATTTTCCAATACTTTGCACATACTAACCAAACAGAAATTATTTGTTTTTTTTTTTGTTTAATTTCAATATAAAAATTTTACAATTACCGGTTGTTCTCATCAGCAGCTTGTGTGGCTTCCAACAATTTTTGTTGGGCAGTGGTTGAGCGTTCCTCAGATTTTTCTAAATCTTCTTCAATTTGTTGTACCTTCCTGTTTAAAGTGGCTACTTCAGATTCAGTAGAAGTCAACAATTTTTCTTTCTCTTCTAAATCTTGGTTAGCTTTTTCGAGAGCTTCTTTTGAGGCGACTAAATCAACCTCAACCTGCACCAATTTTTTTTCCAAATCACGTAATTCTTCATTGAGCTTATCGGCGCGAGCATTTGCGTCTTTAGCTTGATTTTCACAGGTATCGGCCTTATCAATGGCGTTATCCTTTTCAAGCTTCATCGCTTGCATCTTCTTCTTGATGGCATCCATGTTGTATGTGTTTTGTTTTTATAACTGACGGAAGGAAAAATAAATGAAGAAAAACACTGAAAAATAAAATAATTTATATTATTAAATAATTAAATACTGAAACAATAAAATGATAAAGTTAGGTAGAAGTTATCAACGGCAAATTAGTAAGCGTACTGGTTTTAAACCATTTACAACCTTACAACTTGATGCGTTGATATCAACATTGTGTCCAATTATGATATATTGCACTATTTGATCTGCTTAGTTTTTAGTTTTTTAATATAAATTTGAATTGAAATAATTCATTCTGTGGTTTTCATTTGAAAATCTTTTCATTTAATTCATCTCCACTATCTCAGTTGCAGTGTTTATTAAAAGAAAAATGGTATATAGTTGATAACATCGCTGTTATTTTTTTTTTTATTAAACACATATATTAATTTCAAGACTCTCTTAAACTATTACTAACCTTAAGTGGAACAGAAATTTAGTTTTTCATTTTTTTATTAAGTTATTACCAAAAACCTGGTTTTAATCGATGAGTGATTTTATTGTTAATTTTTAACAAATTATCTGTTTTTTTTTTCAATGACGGGTCTAAAGTGCTGGCAACCAGACAAGGTAGATTCTGTCAATAAGTATTTAAAACTATTGTATTATTATTGTACTTATTAATACAATTGTACTAATGTATTGAATAGTTTTTGATTCTGTTTTGTATACAGAAATTATTTAAAGATATTAAATGAACTGCTTCAATTATTTTATATAGTTCTTAGGAATTATAAATCTGAAGAAAAGAGCATTTTAAATACTTTTGTATTAATATATTTTGTATAGCTTAAATATTTTGTTGTAGGTATATGTTTAGATTTAATATATACACTGCTTAAATTAATAGTATTATGCATGTAAAAGAGAATCAATTATAATGACTAAAAAATATTGTTATAATATAAAATTTTCATAGAATGAATTTGCATAATTTACTAATCAAATACTTAACGAAACAAATTTATCAGTAAATTCTTTTAAAATGAATTTAAGAAAAAATAAAATTTCTTTGAGTACGATATTGAAGTGATTGCATTTTTAATTATTAACACCAAGCAAATATTTAATATCATCAATTTAACAGCCATGACATTATAGAAAAAAATGTTGAGATCTCATGTTACAGGTTGAGATGCAGCAAAAAATTAATTTTTTTAACTAAGTTCACGTTTACTTTGATATTTTATGTCCATAATAAAGCTATAAAGTTCCAACGAATGAGGATACATAAGTTTAACTAACAAAGAATATTACTATATTATTTACAGTTTAATCACGCTAAAGATCTGTGGGTTTAATCGTAACATATTGCTAACAACGAGTTCAACTTATACATACACTAAAAACCGAATGAATGCCTAATATCAAATAATTTTTTTATAAGAAATGTATTTTGATATAAACAATTTATTTAGTGAATCAATAAACGTATGGCTTTTGCGCTATAGATAGATTTTTCAAAATTAATTTTCATACCCACGCAATCTTAGTTTGTTGTTGTTGTTAATTTTTATTTTTCAAAAAAGTGTAAACGAATTCTTAGAGCTTTTCACCATTTAAAATTTAAAAATAAATTTTTTTTTAATAAAAATCCAGCAGTGGAACATGTCATTATTTGGACTTCTATCCGAAGGCTTTGAAATTCTAGATGTTCTAATAAAATTGCTTCTTTCATTGTGTGTGTAAACTATGTATAAGTTTTTGAATCGAATTCCTAGCAAATCAACAATAGATGAAGTTAAAGCTTTCTGGGTCAATTTTTGATCGAAATGTTAATTCATATTGGTACTCAATTTTATAATTTTAAAAATTCATTTCATTGAACCTCTTTTTAGTTTAATTACTTGAAATTGTGTGCATTTCATTTATATGTAGGATGAATGTACATCCTACTTATAAGCTTTTTTTTATAAGAATACCCATTTGCTTCGATATGTAGCAAATATATATATATATATATATATATATATTACCTCACAAGAATGCAGATGTACAAATGACGATGTTAATGGAATTATTATGACATCTTGGTTTCTATTTTAGAAATTTCATTTTCTAAACAAAAAACTTTAACCGAAGTAAAAAAAAGATGATTTGAATTAATAGCAGTGGTATACATCCTTATTCAATCTTATCAGCCCCTAATCAATTTTCTTAAAGTTATATATGTAATTTTAAGTACAATACTACTTGGTGAATAGCATGACTATAGAAATTTAAGATTTATACTCTAAACTACATTCTATCTTACTTTCTTGATCTACTTAATCTTCTAATCTACTACTTCATCGGAAGTATGAACCTCAAATACTTTTATCAGTGTTATTAAAAATTATATACATTTTATTTTAATTGAAATATGGTGAGGAGCGTTTGCTTCCAATTTCAGTCTTTAAATGTAAAACTATCCTATAGGAGAGCATAGTATCAGGCTCAGAGAATATGATATATTCTGTGTCTCATATGGAAAGAAAAAGAAAGTATTATATAAAAACTAAAAAACAAAAATTCAGGATATTATTAGAACAGTAAAGCATATCTAAAACAATATTGTATATCAATAATCCTATATTTAGGATAAAAATACAAAGCGCTACTTAATTAGAATTTCTTTCGATTTGCTCGCTTGGCATTGAAAAGTGAGAAAACATCTATTCAATTTAAGATTGTCTAGAATCAAAATAACAGCATGTATAAATTAACACCTAAAGCACAAGCGTATGTTACTATTTACTTAATTACTTAGGTGGCTATTATAGACGTGAGTCGTCCTTGGCCCCATACGTTATTACTTTTCTAAATAAAGTTCACATTCTGGAAAGAGAGAGTAATAGTATATTTGCCCTTACTCTTTAAGATTTGAATAATTGTACATATGCGGTGTTGTCTTTAAAAATCAAGAATCAATACTTTAATTTAGATTTTTATTTTAGCATCTTACTTGTATAAATAGTATTGAATTTGAAATAGTTTGTTGTTTTAAATTCGTGAAACCTAAAACAATTAAACTTACTAAAGACAAGGCCGACTAAAGACAACATGTAAAAAACAATATGTATTAAAATAAGACGTTAAATTAATTTTATAAATATGTAGATATACATGAAGGTGAAACAACATAAGGCAAGTTTTAAAAATAAACTAAGAGCTTGTCTCCATATATTGTGTACAATTTATATATTTGATAAAAAAATTTATATAAACTAATGGATTAGTTGATAAGATTGTGGAATATCTCGTCCGATTGTCTTATTTTGTCTTAACGGTGATCAAACCAATGATATCTTCAACGCATTTAACCCATAAAATACTATAATACGTATAATCTGTACCTGCCTCTTAATATACACTCTTTATTAATTATGTTAAAATTTAGTAAATGAGTGGGTGGACTTTATGATAAAAAATTTATATTCAGATATATAAATATTTCGACAACGACGATCTCAAGGATAAATTTTTATAAAAACGATTTGTTTGTATGTGATACGAAAAGCTTTCAAAGTTTCGATACATACAAAGTACACACATATTTATATGTAAATGCTTTGTAGTATGCTTTGTATATGTTTGTATGATCAACTTTATTTTATGTGGGTAAGTTTTAAAAATAAATTGTATGCAGGTGTCTCAGATATTTTTATATATTAAATACATATATTTATATGATATTGAGTTTATACTAGCATTGTATATATATTTGTGTGCAAAAAAAATCATTAGGAGCTTTTATGTTAGACGCATTCACTTAGATTGAAATTGCATTTGTATTTGTTTCAAAAGCGATTTGGTTACAAAATTCCATTTAAAGAATTTTTTATATATAATTATTATATTTGAAAGTTTATATAAAAGACGGTAAAAGTACAGTTTATATTTTCAAATAATTACTAGGATTTGTTGAGTATGACTTCTCTCTATATTATAAATTTTTGAATTGTGTGGTCAGTATTTTGAAGATTTATTGTTGCATAATACATATAAAATATTTTTTATTTATTTGATTTAATAATATGGGTGCATATTTTTTTATATATATATATTAAACCATAATTGATATGCTGAAAAATTTACTGACAACATTTTTTACTTTTTATGAATTAAACTTTGTCATTTTAGTTTGTTAATTTTTTTATACTTTTTACAATTTTTTTTATACAACACGCACATATATACAAAATACATATATATATACAAATGTATATATATATATATATATATATTTATATATATATATAATAGAAAGTCATTCAAATCATAATATAATTAATTATTATTAAAATTTTTATTTTATCTCTCTTCACCTTCATTACTGACATAAAATTTAAGTCCGTCAAATGATCTAACTCAACTGGCTGCAACGTAAAGTTGACCATGCGAAAAAACAAGTCTCCTCAACAATATTCCAACTCTATCAAATGTCTGTCCTTGGGATTTGTTAATTGTCATAGCAAATGCGCTGATGACTGTGGAAACTGTGTTCTTTGAAAATTAAATGGCAGTGCAGTCCCTGAATACGTCAAGTGCATGCGTGGAATCAAACCACGTTTTCCGCGAGCAACTCCAGTGAGTACTTCACAATCTATTGTGTTATTATGCATTGCTTTGACTCGCATTCTCGTCCCATTCACTAATGCTTGCTTCGTATTTAAATTTCGAATTAACAAAACTATCGCATTAATCTTGAGCTCCAACTTATGTGGTGGCAAACCACTTACAATCAAAGTATTCAAAAATTCTACTGGATAGTTGCATACCTCACTGTTATCCTCGCAAATAATTCTGTCAAAACTGTAGTAAACCTTTTTTTCACCAGCGATGCGATTCAATACATCGTTATTGATAAGTCCACAATCTTCATTAGTTGGAGCTAACACAACTGACTTCAACATTCTATCTGATAAAATGGTTTCATTAATATCTCCAAAAATATCATGTACTGTGTTAGATTCAACACCTATCAAATTTGCTGGAATTTCTACTAAATCTTCACCATTGCCAATTCTCTTTAGAAATTGAA